CTTGGCCTGGAGCTCACGCTCAGTCTTGTAAAGTTCCATCTTGTAGCCCTGGGCGCGGTAGTCCAGGTCCTTCTTGCCCTCGTAGAACTTCTTCTTGTCTCCCTTGAGCTCCTTCAGCAGGTTGTCGGTGCCCGCGGGCTTGTCGTAGCGCACCAGGTCGGTGTCCACGTTGCCACTGTAGCCCTGGTTGCGCTGGGCGTAGGCCGGGGCGGCACCGGCCACCGCTACCAGAAGGCCGGCCATAGCACCGACGCTCAGGGAGACAAAAGGTGCCATGAAGTCCTGGTCCTCAGCAGCTGCGCCACGGCTTGAGCTTCCGGAGGCCTTGGCACTCACCTGGGGAGCGCGGGAGCCCGACAAAGGACCCACGAAGGCGCACTGCCACGCGGCAGCACCCAGGAGAGCGGCGGCCAAGACTCGGAGGGCCATGACGAGGAGGGAGGCGGAGCAAGTAGCGCTTTGGCGAGCTTCGCTCAGAGCTCTTGATGCGCTGCGGCTACATATATACAGAGCTGTGTCCAGTATGAGGAATCCTCCCCATGAGCAGCACATCTTCTGGAGTGTCAAAGCCATCAAAGCAATCAGAGGTCTTAGCAGCGTTCGACAAGGTCTTACGTTAAAGGAGGCTCCCACCTTGCCACATCAAAAGCTGACCCCTTGCCATCTTTGACATGACAATGCTCGTACTTTTGAAAACATGTGGTGTCCCAAGTCTACGCGGGTCTGCTTTGGAAAGACCCTGTGTAAGAACAGTATTGCTGGTAGTGATGTAAGCAATGGACGCCACCATCTGCTCCTTTTCTTTCATTCGCCTGGGAAGTTCAGGGCAACTACAACTCCAATATAACTGGTACCTGTAACCCAATTAGGCATAATCCCCTAACCCCACCCCCCACCCGTAACATAAATATCCCCAATATGGTATAATATACCACAATGGGGAATATTCAATCTTGGGGGGTACCTTCAACCCTAAACCGCGTAATTCTTTCTTGGGAGTGTTTAACATTAGGGGGAGGGGATTAACCAAACCTGGTGGGGGGACTTAGGGGGGCTTGTACTTGGGTTATACTCCCAGGGATCCCAATACCCCCTGATTAAGGAATATACCTTACGTAAATCATACTAACGGTCCTTTTATAATCCGAAACCCAAAAAGGTATATTCCTTAACTATGCTATATTGGGCTCTCTGGGTTAATAGGCTTCTAGCTACCCTGAACCTTTAAGCGGGGGGCTGCCCATATTGAACCATAAACTTCAATTTAGGGTTTAGGGCTTAAACCCTAAATCCTACACCGTAAAGCCTGCCTAGACCCGCCAATGTAGTATCTTTTTGGTAATCCTAATAAGAATCCTAACCAAAAAACCGTATCAAACCCAAAAAGGAACTACATTGGAGGATCCAGGTAAACCCTAACGATGCCGAACACCCACCTTGAAGTCAGGTCCCCTTACAGCCATGGTCTACTTTGACACAGCTTACACCCACGCGAATAAGGGAATATCATCCCTATATAATCACCCTTATCCCCTACTAACTCCAAGCCCTTTATATATATATACACATATATGTGAGAAAAATTGGCTACCGAGCTGCCCTAAAAACTCTTCTTAGCATAGTGGGCTAGGGTTTAGGGTTTAGGGCTACCACGCGTCGAAACGAACATGGAACTCTAGACGGGGCCCTGCACAATTTCTGTCCTTGTTCGAGGCTTCTCTTCCTGTGGGCCTATGGAATTCCATGTTTATCTCGACCCGTGCATGGGGAAGGCAGGCAATCTGTAGTACGAGAGTTTTAGGAAGCATGCGTAACATATGGGGAACACTTAGATGACTCATGCCTTCATTGTGAGTCGCATTAAGTGGACCCTAAAGCCTCCATCCTAAAGCCTATATGTAGACTCGCCAAACTTCCTAAGGAATCCTATATATACTCGCTACAGTACATAAAGACCCAGAAAGCCTTACTTCATATTAATATCAAGTAGATCCCAAGAGGTCCCCAAATAGGACAGATCCTCTACGAGCCCTCGGCTACTAAGTACAAAATCCCTTCTGCAGGAACCCTTCTTAGCATTTTATTGGGCAACCCCTATAGGGATCTACCCACATCTACAAGAATTATTTGGACAATTGCTCAGGCTCCCTTTCAGGAGACCTTGACGTTCACACCCTTCATGAGCCTTATGGAAACGATCCTTCATGCCCAATACAAATCCGATCGGCTTCCAATAACACAGCTCTTTGCACACGGCTCTGGCAATCAGTCTATATGGTTTAGAAAGACAACTCGCCCCTCTAAGCCGCTCAGCGGATCTTCAGCTGCTTGGCCTGGAGCTCACGCTCAGTCTTGTAAAGTTCCATCTTGTAGCCCTGGGCGCGGTAGTCCAGGTCCTTCTTGCCCTCGTAGAACTTCTTCTTGTCTCCCTTGAGCTCCTTCAGCAGGTTGTCGGTGCCCGCGGGCTTGTCGTAGCGCACCAGGTCGGTGTCCACGTTGCCACTGTAGCCCTGGTTGCGCTGGGCGTAGGCCGGGGCGGCACCGGCCACCGCTACCAGAAGGCCGGCCATAGCACCGACGCTCAGGGAGACAAAAGGTGCCATGAAGTCCTGGTCCTCAGCAGCTGCGCCACGGCTTGAGCTTCCGGAGGCCTTGGCACTCACCTGGGGAGCACGGGAGCCCGACAAAGGACCCACGAAGGCGCACTGCCACGCGGCAGCACCCAGGAGAGCGGCGGCCAAGACTCGGAGGGCCATGACGAGGAGGGAGGCGGAGCAGCAAAGCTGTTGGAGCTGAGCGTGTCAAAAACCAGCTGCGCAGAATCCAAGTTGCAAGCTGCATCAACACCCTGTAGCACAAGTACAAGTGAGAAGTGCAGGACCTGGGCTGCTTGCTAATGCAAATAGTGTAGAATCCCGAATCATGACAACAGGTTTTTGGAGTAAACTGTACCATGCCCTCCACAAGGAGAAGAGGGAAATCGTGTAAACACTCAAACACCTGCTTTGCGTTTTGGTTTGGAATAAAGGGGCTAGCTACGGTTAGTATCATTCATCACGTCGTGCATAGGGTGAAGCCCAGCACAACTCTTCGGAGAAACGAGTTGGAAGTCTCTTGGCCCAAGGCAGATATACATGCCCATGCACGTTAACATTATTGCCCAAACGCTCTAAAGGATCACAAAAACGGAACCTCACAATAATCCACTAGTTTCCCCTTTGCCCATGTTTTGGATCCTTGAGTGGGTCTGGGTAGGCCCTTTAAGTGATCATGCAGAGTTCTCCAGCATGCTGTGTCCTACACATGCGCTCAAGCGGCTGGACAGACAGAGGGCTGGGCAAGAAATCTACCCTCCCCCACTTGGAGGGTCAGGGGGAGTTAGTAAGTAGGCTAATAATGGTGGTAAGTAGTGTCACTATATGAGTCGTAGGGGTTATTAACCTACTTACCAAATCCCCCTGACCCTCCAAGCAAACGATCATGCAACCTGCCAAGAAGGGATCAAGTCGGGATGTACAATTTCAAAGGTATATACAACCCGCCGCCAGGCTAACATGGAACCAACGAGAAGTTTCCGTGCGAGTTTGGGTGAGGGTAATTTGAGATCCTTATGGGAAATTGTGGAAAACCCTGCGTATGAAGTTGCTGTAGATGTGAGCTATAGTCTAAACT